GAGCATCAATAATTCCTTCACTAGCTTTCCTAATATTGGCCAATGCCTTAGAAAATAAAACCATATAAATTTAACTTTATTAAATTTATTAAAATATAGTGAAGATATTAGCGAATATATATAAATCATTTATTTAACTTACGAGTTTACCAAGACATCCACCCCACTCGCCTAATGGATATTCTGCGTTAACATATTCTAAATCTCTAAGCTCATTCATTGAACCGATAAATTTTGGTATCATTGCATGAATGTTCATGTTAATACCTTTTGTTTTTCCTGCTTCAATAACTAAATAATTAAAAATAAATCTTTTAAATATTTACATACTTTTTAATATATAATTTATATACACTTTTTAATATATGTATGCTTTTTAAATATATATATATATTTAATATATATACTTTTTTAACATTAATAAAATGACAATATTTATATATTTTAGTGGATACATACAAGTTTCAATTACCAATTTTCCAATCTTTCCATAATTTTTAATCCACGGATCACCTTCTACGAATTCAACCCAGCCATCACACTTTAAAACTCTAACAATATCTTTGACTAACTGATGCCATTGATATTCAGTAAGAGCACAACACATCATACTCATGTGAACAAAATCAAAAGTTTCAGGAGGAAATGGAATTCCATGAATTATATTGCACGCAAGAAAGCCAACATTTGAAGGATGTCGATCATTTGAAGGAAATTGAGTAGAATCTATATCAATTCCTATTAATGTTGAAGAAGAATATTTTGATCCTATATCTATCACCCAGAAACCTGAACCACAACTTTAAATAGCAGTGTAAACGTTTATGGCATACCGTAAAGATTTCGAAAAAAAATAATAGTTTATTATATTTACCCAACATCAAGTACTTTAGCTCCTTTATTTAACTTTTCTTCAATTGGAGAAAAAAAGTTTTTTTGGAATAAATGCTTCCTTATTGCGTAAGACATAGCCTCTCTATTAACTTCCTTTTCGTCTGATGGTAGCATATATTTTGACTCATTCTCATTAATGTATTTTCTTCCATTTAATATTCTATGTGTACTTAATTGTAGAGAAGTTTCAAAGTCATTGTCGTCATCATCAGTATATTTCAATTGTACTTTTTTCCTCGGAATTGAAGATGATTCAGATGCTACAGAGAATGTATTGTTATTCTGACTAGACATTATTAATATAGTAATAATATTTACAATAATATTTTTAAAAAGAAGTCCTTTAAAATATTTATGTTATTTTAAAGTTTTTTAAAGTTTTTTTTTGTAGTTACACGGCTTTATGTTAATAATTTAAAAGGGGGATTCTGTGTAAACTTAATATTTGAATGAGAACAACTATTTAATCTGGTAAAGGCCGTACTTGTACATCTACCTCCTAACAGGCATATAATGATATACAGGATTCGCATTTATATTTATATTTATGCTATCTCAATTTAGAATATAAGAAAAAACGGTTTAAAATTTTGTTAAAACGATAAAGTTGTGCTGTTGTGCAACTTATTGACTGACATAATTTTTATTTATTCGATATCCTACTATTATCGGAGCTATCAAAAATTATAAATTATCCGATACTAGATAGCATAAATTCCTAACGAATTCCTGTTGTAATACATTTACTAAAATGGATTAAAGATGAATTCCGAATTTTTGTACACACAATAATCTCTGATTTCTAAAACAAAATATTGTATCTCACCGGTCCTAGTTATTTATGTAAGAAGTTTGGCCAACTAGTACAATAGTAAATAATTTCTTAATATGTCTAAATTTTAAATAGTACAAATCATTACTTAAAAAAGATCCAAACATTATCAATGCTTTTTATTTATTAGTTTATGTCAGAACTGACTCAAGCTTCTATCATGATCAGAAGTTAAAAGATCTTTTTATTCAAATAATATAGAATAACATTTAATATACCTTGATCGAAAAGTTTAGACATTTATAAAAGATTAATTGAATGGAAAGCGATAAAAGTAACATTTCAATTTAGCTCAATGGCGTACAGTAGTGTATAATAATGTACAGTACGTTAAAGACTTGTACAATTCAAATTGTTATAATCCAATAAAACAAAACTTGTGGCTTGTTTTATTTATGTCAAATTATTAAAAATATTTATTTGGATATGTCTTAATCTAGTAAAAACAGTAATGCGTTTTACAAATGATATGTTTACTTACTATATTTTATACTACTGTCCAAAAATATTTGTTCATTTTTCAAGATCAATTATAAATCGATTGATAAATTAAATCATGCGATAGATATATTACTCGGCTCTAGACGATTACAACTGCACATTTTCGGTTACTGTATTTTTATGAAGATTAATCTTGTTTACCATATTTTACAGAATATCATCCCTTGTCACTAGAAATGCGTAAACTTACTTGTGCCTGTGATGCAAACCAAATATGGAATAAATAGATATACTCAAAGAAAAATAAATTCAAAAATAATGAAATACAAATTCTAAATCGCTTTGAGGGACTAATTAAAATGTTGGAAATGCAATTTTGCATATAAAAAACTACTCTTTTTATCTAGTTATTACCACTCACTCTGACGACTAATTTTGTATCTAATTACACGTATTTAATTGTTTTTCGTTAAAAATTTCCTTTTTGGTCGATAAAAGGTCCGGAGCAAAATTAGAGGGCTATTTTTGCATATGTAGTACAGAACACAACCCTACTGTAAGATGTCGGAGATTTCCGTTTAATTAAACCAATTCAGCGATTTCCGGCTCGACTTTTTAATCAGTCGAGCAATATAATTTCATTGGCCGTTATATCTAAACATCTAATCTAAAAATATTGTGACAAAAAAGTCAGCTACTGTACAGTACATGAAAATTTGCTCACTATTTATTTTGTACTAATTTTCTTTTTTCTTCGTATTTACTTTTCTACGTACGAAGATAAGCCTATATATTCCATATATGGTTTGTATCACAAACGCAAATAAGTATACCGATATGCTTGAACTACGTATAAAGTCTTTAGCTTTATAACTTTATTTGTAATCACATTAAAGTAATTACTTTTTATGATTGGACAATGGCCCAACATGTCCCAACTGACAAATCAAAATGTATGATAAAGCTATTAATTACATTGTAAGCATCTTTATTGCTAAGCAGCCTTATTTTCATCTACGTATTGGTATTAAGGGGTTTCAAAATTAAAATCAGAGAGACTTATTTTATTTTTCCGATTTATAATTCAACATAGTAAAAATACTATTGAAAAAATTCTACTTATTTTAATTTTGAAAATCCCATTATCTAAAGTTTTCTAAAGTTTAACTTAATTTACGTACTATCTTTAAAATAAATTAAACTTATATTTCATTATTTTTTTTCATAGTGGTCAACCGTTTTTT